ATTGTTGTCCGTGGATCGCCTAATGTTGGTCCACCTGCACAGGAATCTAAAGGCAGTAGCCATTGGGAGACACTTGAGCTCTATCTCGTCCGTCTCTTCCTTCTTTCATAACTAATTTTACCTGTTCAAAGCAAATATGCTCTTCTTTTAGTTTTGATGTCCGTAATGTCACTGCAGGAAAAATACAAAAAGTTTCATGCTAAATTGCCTGTCGTTGTTGCCGATACTCTTCTTGCTGCTGATTGTCAAATTGAGTTGCCTCTTTGGTTGGTTCAAATGTTCAAGGCAAGTACAAATTCATTTGATAAATGAGGGCCTAAGATCAAATATTCAAGGTTATATATCAGTCTCATGGAAAAGAATTATACAAGAATTACTTATCAAGATATATACATAAATTTCAGTCAAGAATTGCTCCTATCATCTAGTCTCTGCATATAGTGTAATGTTTTTATTCTGTTAGTTTGTTTGATGTCTAAAGTAGCCCTATCATCTGGAGGATGTAAAATTATTGACCTTACAAAATATTTTGGGTTTTCTATTTGTGGTAAATTCAAGGGATTAGAAGTTTGGTAGCTGTTCTAGTGAAAGTTCACGAAGAGATCAGAAAGGTTGAATAAGTAAAACTTGTCAACAAAGGTGTTTTTGGGGGGCTGGGGTGGAGTTGCTCTGAAAGGCAACACTCTTGAGTATTTGTGTTTACTAATGACCATATTTATAGTTCTTGCATCATTGCTATAATTTATTATTAAGATAATGAGGGACTTCTTTGGGATGGGATGGACTGAGGAAAAAAACATCCGATTAGTTGGGAAAGATCACAGCCCCAGTCAAACTAGACAGTTGGTTGCTGAATGCTACATATATGTATGGATGAGTTTGTAAAACGGGATCATGAACAATATTAATTCCTCTCAAGGTTCATTGGCTTCTCAATAAGGAACATCAAAACTTGTATGGCTTTTGATATTAGTCGAGAATGTGATACAAAAGGCTCAGAAAATATCCTTTGTTTTACCTGTACAAAGAAGAAACTAAGTGTTGATAGTTGATCTTTTTGTTGTTGAAAGTATGTCTAAAAATTGTTATATTTCTACAATAAAGCAACCACTGTTTCTAGTAAACACTATCAGTGCAATACATTGATTGGTAACATTACCCACCCCTTCCTAAAAGTAAATATCTTGTTTGCTCATGTGGGAGAACTTTTGTTGATCGAATCGGGTGCGATAATCCTATTCATGTCCTGATCTAGGGTTCAGATTTCGCATCACATAAATTTTAGGATTCAGGAGTATGGATCTGAGTGCAGATACAGTTAAATGAGAAAGATTATTATAAGCTAAGTTGCTCAGACTCGGGTGCGGGTGTACGATACGGGTGCGGATCTAGAGGCCGGATCCTTCATGATCTAATTTTTAAGATTTGGGGATATGGATCAATGTGTGGATACCGGTGCGGGGATTTGCCTAAAAATAATTAAATATCTAAAAATAGAGTTATAAAACCTAAATTATGAGATATTATGTGGAGAACTTGAGGAACATTCTGGAAGGAGATTAAAGGAAAAAGAGTGACATAGAAATTTCTATATAAAAGGTATCCATTTTCTTCAATTTCACCTTAGCTTTTGTATTGATTACATAATTCATTAAAATTGTCCAGATTTTCCCCATCAATTTTGGTCAAAGTACGCAAAATTGGTTAACCAAATCAGACATGGATCCCACACCTACACCCACACCTATGTCGTGTCGACACGGGTGCGGCACCAAAAGGGGAGAGTGAGCAACTTAGATTATAAGTCCTCGTGCTTCATCCCTCCTTCGGGGTGACCCAGTGGTTTGGGCTTGGGACTTTCATGTTGGAGGTCTCAAGTTCGAAACCCCTTGCCTGCGAAAGTAAGGGGTTTGCCTTCTAGGTCATAAATTGATAGAACTGTTACATAATCATAAATTGATAAAAGATGAGAGTAGTATCGATTTTATTTCAGGATTCGGGGATATGATAGAATATGAGTAGAGGTGATAAGATAAATAAATAAATGTTTATTACAACATATTTAAGTTTATATTTCAACATTTATTGAAGTTAATAAATTAAAGCTAGAATTATTAAATTCCTTGTGAACACTTAATATTTATATTTTATTCATAAGTTATCTCATATATAACAAGTGTTGTACTTTATGCAAATATGTGTATGTCAAACTCAAATCAAACCAAATATGATGTGGACCCCACCCACATCCCCCTACTCATGTTGGATCGACACGGATGTGGGAAGGAATTCTTAGCAGCACGATCCGGAATTTGTTTTTTCTTTTTGGCCAAGTAGTTTTGATGTAATATGTGTTGCTTATCTCCCTAGATTTCTTCAATGGAAAGTTTAGGTCTGATATTATTTTGATGATTCTATTTGGACATAGGGTGTGCCAGCAAAGAGTGGTGGGGGAATGGCGGGAAGTGAGTCAAACCCTGCTTCTTTGTTTCGGCTATATATTGACTATGGTCGTTATACTGAAGCGACTAATCTGCTTCTGGAGTACATTGAATCATTTGCGTCACTGGTGAGTTTCTCATCCTTATCCACAAAGCATTTGACTGTGAACGGCTGCTGCAAGGGTTTTATTATTTGTCTTGAAATTTTGGCTGCTGTTTCAGTCAAGTAACCTGCTAAGGTTCAATATAAGACGATAGCACTTGTGGTCATTTGCTGTGCTTAGTGATGCTGAAGAAACATTGTACTGGTATCACCTCTCTGAGAGGACTTCTCTGTCCTAATGGTTTCTGTTATGGAATAATAGTATAGGCCAAAGGATATAGGGCTCCCATCTTAGGGCTTTATTCAAACACCCATTCTGTATGATGGCTATACACATTCTTGTGTTACATAGTTTCCAAATTATTAAATGCACTTGATGGATAAATTTAGCTGAATTTTTAACATGTAGAGATCTGTATTTAGTAAATGACACATCTAAAGTTCTATCTACAAGTACAACGAGAATAGAACACATGTTAAGACACTCAACAACAGTTCATGACATTGATTCTTTGTCCACTAGTATTATTTATGCAATATTTATTGATTGCAAGGTTAACCAATTCTGTTCTTGGCTATGTGCACATTCCTTAACAGCACCATCTGTTTCCATTACCTGCAGAGACCAGCTGATATTATTCGTCGTAAGAGGCCATTTGCAGTTTGGTTTCCCTATTCTTTGATTGAGCGTTTATGGTGTCAACTTCAACAATCTATCAAACTAGGCCACATGGTTGATCAAAGTGAAAAGCTGAAAAAGTTGTTACAGGGCTCTCTCATGAACCATCTACATCAAGTATGCTTTACTCTTAAAACTAGCTTTCTGAGGTTGAATCTCCTTTCACTGCCTTAACGTATCTCCATTTTGTTTCTTATCTTCAGCTTAAAGTGGATTCAGATGATGTGATGTCTTCTGTTTCCTAGTCATTGCTGCCAGTTTTCCGATCTGTTAGCTTACGTGAGCTATATGCAGGATGAAAATCTGCAGACACAATTTTTAAGAAATCAGAGACAGTAGCTTGTATCCCCATCCTTCCCCAAACATGAGATAAGATGAAAAGATTTATTCTTGTTGCGAGTCTTAACATAAGAAGCTGTGTGTAAATTCCAACTTGGGGCAGCTCATCAGCCTCTCACATGGTCAATTCAATGAATGTATCAGGTGTAATTTTGTAAATTTAACTTGGAACTATGTAATATGTAATGCTCAAGTGCTAGAATTTTTCTCTTTTATGTGATGACTTATTTCCAAGCTTAATGTAGCGCTAAAACCTGAATCTAACTACTAACAAGATAATTGACAACAGAAGTATAGTTTATAATTTAAGAAATTCGCAAAAGCTAGTCTATCTTCCTGTATTTGTGTGTAATATAAAAATGTAGTATTAAGGAAACTTGGAATGAATAGTTCTTTAATTGTAGCACACGTTCAACTTCTAGAAGAGTTGAATAAAATACAAAAATATGTATAAAATACAAAAATATGGTTTACTGGCCGCAGTATTTTCTTGACACGACTTATAATGTTAAGAAATTGAAAATGAAGTTGAATTTCAGATGCTATTCGTGTTATTTTTTAAAAAAATTATCATTAAGGTTAAGTTAAAGATCTATGTTTAGACAAACATGAAGAATTATAAAAGGCGGCCTACTTGTCAAATTTGCCAAACTTAGCCATTTGGAATTAACCAAGTTCATAAATACTCAAAATATTAATGAAGCTTATATCTCTAAAATAAATGCGATGCAGAAAAGTGTAGGGCAGTAAAGAATGATGCAAAATCTTTCATAAAGAAGCACTATCCACCCAAAAGTTTTTTTTTAAAACTTACTTCCTTTACTACTAAGCAACCTCAACCTCTTTGGACGTCACATTTACATCACGAGCAAGTTTGGTCAACCGTAAATGTTCCTCGTTCCTATTTATATGTCATCGTTATATAAAATGGATGATTTTTAATATTTGTCATTCTACAAAAAATCAATGCATAGATGACACTATTTTTTTAAATCCAAAGTTATTAACTTTGAAACTTGAAAGTATGTATTTGACCAACATAAGAAAACTAAATGATTAATTTATGTTCATTGATTAATTTAATTAATCAAAATAAATTAATTTGTGTTCGTTTATTAAAAACTTGACTTCGATAGAACACTAAATAAGGATAGAATGATAAACTTACCTAGTTTCTTCAGGAGTGTGAAATCTAAAATAATCACATATAAATAGGAACGAAAAAAGTACTTGATTAAAATTTAATAAAATAATTTGTGAAAAAATGCATGGTAGATTAGATAAACAAGGAGTACATATCTAGTTTTGCTATTTTAAAATTAAATTTACTATTATTATCTTTATACACGCTCTCATACTTTTCCAACCAACTATTTTCAAATTTTTTTATAAACATAAGTTAGTTTAGCCAAAAAAGAAAATAAAAAATTGTCAAAAGAAAAATAATTGTGGAAGTTCTTCACGGAACCAATTTATTCCCGAAAAGCAGATTAATAAAAGAAGCCTAGGAAAGCACAACAACACACACTGTACCAGCATTTCTCCTTAAATAGTGGTACTTCGCCGGAACTTTGCCTTTACCGGTCACCGGTAATTTTTCTTGAAAACCCTTCTACTCTTTTCCCATCTTTCGACTACTGGTGAAGATTTGCTTCATGGATCGCTTCTTTTTGTTTTCTTGTTTGTTATTTTGTGTCTTATTTCTGGTTATTTGCATATGTGTTTGTTTAGTGAAAATTAAAGCTATTAATTATGAGAAATCATACAACTACCTCTTAAAGCATGAGTTTTTTATGGTGGGTTTTTAGAGAGAGTGGGGTTTCATATACTTCCATTATTGGTGGTTTATAAAGAAAAATCTTGCTTTATTTTGGAATTTCTTGTCTTGGTGTTTTTAGTTTGGTGAGTACAGAGGAGCTCAGGATTTATGTATTGTTCTCCCATCATGTGGGAAATTCAGTATAAGTTTGAAAGGGAGTTCACGTGTTGGTCATGATTTCAAATCTTGATCTGAAATCAGTGATTTAAAATCAGGTTGATTTGAAGTTGAGATTTTTTCTTATAAATAATTTTAAACTTCCCATACTCGTGTACTCCTTTGTTTCAATTTGTTTGTAATGTTTTGACTTTTCTAGAAGACTCTTTTCTTGAATGTTATTCAAGAAAATTTGGATTGCCCAGTATTCCACGAATTAGTAACCCAAGATTCCAAACATTTATTAAGTGAGAAAGAAATCCACCTGGGCAAAAACACTATAGATGCAAGATAGAAAAGAGGAGTGGATGCTTTCTTTTTTGCCATTTTTTCATCTGTGAATTGTTAATAAACCCATTCATACACTTTATGCGATGAATATTTCTTGCACATGAGTCTTATACATGGTATCGAACTTAGGAATCTTATTTTTTGTGTATGTGATTTTGTGGTTGTTTTTTGAATCTAAGTACAGAAATAGGCTAAGAGTTCACTTCGAATGACATGGTGTTCAATACAAAAATAGGCAAAGTTGGAGTGTGTAACAACAATTTCGACCAAAGTTTATCTGTGTTTTGAACCATTTTCCCATTTAAATTTATGGGTGTTCTGTTGTAAAATATGAACTTATGGGCCAAGTTTTTTTTTTTAAAAAAATAATTTGAAATCACAATTTGGAATTCCATATCCTACTTTTTGGAGAATTTGGGATTTGAAATTATGATTTGAATTGGAAGTTGAAATTTTGTGCATTTTTCACAAACAAACGCTGATTTGCAATCAGTCTGCCAAATCCTATGGCCGAATACCTACTTAGTTTTAACCCCACCTGGTTTAAGGTTCCACCAATTTGAAGTATCATTTCGTTGTAGTTTCTTGCTAGACTTCAATGTGATGATCACTGGACTTGCTCAAATAGGACGAATGGTGTTCTGTTCTGGTTCAAGATTCTCTATGTTGGTTAGTCATTCCGCTTCATACAGGCATGCCTTTGGTGGCATTGCTTCTTTATGTGCATAGAACCAATAATGGTTCTAGTTTTTGGAAATTGATGGAAATACTAATGATATCAAATAAGAAATTCCTTTATGTTGTTTTAAGTTTTATATATAATAATGGCGGAGAGAAGGGGTAGGAAATAGAGTATGGCAATCTGAACCTTTACTAACATGGTAAGGTGGGCAAAATCATCACGTAAGATATACTCTAATCTCGTTTGGATGATTTCCTTCGCTTGATCTGAGTAGGGCATGTAGCTGGACATTAACAGAAAGTATTCAATTATATTTCTAGTAAGTTCCCATAGCTCAATGGATAACTAGTTCATTACCTCTTTTGTCAACCTGGATATGAGGTTCGTTGCAATTGTAACTTTAATTTTCTCCCTCTAAAATCCTTTAATGGATCAATTGTTTTAACTCTCAGCACCTTGCTCAGACAGTTTTGGCTGTTGTAAGCTGTTGTTACCTGAAGATTTCTGCATAGAAAACTTCCTACTAGATGGCGTAACATAATCTGACTGTTCAAATCATGTCTTGCTCCTAATATTTGAGATGCAAGCTTAAACTTGCTCGTTATGGAGCTATCTAAGAATAAGCACCTGAGAAATCAGTTGATATGTCCAGTTGGATTAGTCCAGCATATCTGTTCAAAATATGTCTCAGTTTGAGGATCTTGGAGTCATGCTCTAAAGTCGAGGTTTAGAGTTTCTAATTGTTGACCTGTCAAATTTTTAAATAGGCTTTTGTGTATATCCTTCCTCCTAGCAAATTGTGTTATCACATTTATCATGCCTCTTAGTACCCTTATTAGATTATAAGAATATACAATTTGGTTATGTATTAATAGCAGGATACAAATTGGACCAACTAAACAAATTGAACAACTTCAGGACTTTATTAACTCCCTAGTTCTGGCTTAGATAGTTTGTATAGTCAGCCATGGATTTTTCGTAAGCTAAAAATGCCATATCTTGTAATTCTTGCATCTTCTTGATGCTGTTATTAGTACCACTTAATTAAAAAAAAAAGAAAAAGGAATATAGAATGTGGAGTCCAGAATTTTTTTAGCTTTGGTCAAAATTGATTATTTTTCAAGGCAGACACTCTAGGAAAGGAATTCGTAAACTCAACAAGTCATTTAAATCCACCATCTTTAATTTGTTTAAAAGTCTGAATAATAGTGATTGCTTGATAGTACCTTACATGGTCTGCCAAGTATAAATATGTGTGTAGTGGGACATTGAGTTTATATGATTAACTTTATATAAGCTAAGTTCAGTGTGAGCTTTCCTCCTTTCCATTCTATTGGCATGTATTGTGGTGGATAGTGAGGGTGGAGGGTTTAAAAGTTGAATGTCATGAGATCACGAGGAATCAGTTGTATAAATTATTGGTCTCCACACTCTACCAGTTTCCTTGATTACTTTTTTTTTTTTTTTTTGATAAGATAAGTGGTATTAATAACAGCATCAGGAAGATGCATAATTTACAAGATATGGCATTTGAGCTTACAAAAAAATCTCTAGCTAACTATACAAACTATCTAAGCCAGAGCTAATGAGTTAGTAAAATCCTGAAGTTGTTCTGCATTAACAGCAGGATACAAGTTGGTCCAACTAAACAAATTTTCAGTGCACCTAGTCTTCAAAATGCCTAAAGCAGTTGACTCTCCATCAAAACATCTCTTGTTCCTCTCTAACCAAATACACCAAAAAATACAAGCAGGCATCATAATCCAGATCTTCTTGATGGCTTTGTCAACTTTCCATAGACTCCAACTCTCATATGCATCCTTAACAGTGAGGGGTGTGGTCCAATTGATGCCAGAGAGACAAAAAAACATGCTCCATAATTCTGAGGCCACCTCACAATGAAGAAGAAGGTGTCTGGGGGTTTCAGCCTCTTTTTTGCACATATAGCATCTGTTTGGGAATTGGATTTTTCTTTTCTTTATGTTGTCTTGGGTGAGACATGCCTCATATAGAGCTATCCAGGTAAAAAAAACTACCTTAGGTGGTAGCTTGGTCCTCCAAATGAGTTTCCAGGGCCAGTTAGCTATCACGGGGTTTCTAGAGCACAACTGTTGATACCCTTCCTTGACTATATAAACTCCTTTCTGGTGTCCCCATTTGAGCTTATCAGCTGCCTGATCATTCACTTCCCAATCGTGCATATTTCTTCTAAATCTTATATCCCAATTGAACCCTTCTCTATTAGCAGCAATAATAGAATTGGGATCTTGAGCAATTCTAAACAAATCTGGGAAATCCTCCTTGATTACTTTATGCAAGACCAATAATGAAATGGTATGCTCTTGGTTCTTGGTGAATTAAATGTTAGCAGGTCTGTTTTAACACATAGCTTGAACATGCTTGAAAGGGAAATGTCAAACCAAAATCTTCCGCCTTGACTACTTTAAACATCTGGGACTTAGTGCTGCTATTTATTCTTGATCTTTTAAGGTAATTGGAGGGAAACTTTCCCAAAAAGGGGTCGAGGCTGTTAGGACATGCCTCTTATCTTGGTGCTTCTGTGAATTCCTTCAAAGAAATCTTTTTTCTGAATAAGTTCCATTAATGGATTTTATGGAGCAGAATACTAGTTCCTTTGTTTTTTGTGCAGAGAAACATGTATGCTTCTTTTGTCAATGCAGAGGTATGCATGATTTTTGGTGGAATGGCATTGTTCATAATTCCAGTATTTGTTGGTGGCTCATTTTGTTGGGGCTTATTGGAAAACGCAAACCGGGTTTAGTGTAATTGAACTAATCTTAATCATGTTCAGTAAAAAAAAAAAAATGATCATGTTGCGATATAGTTAATAGTTACCATTTCATTTTATTATCTTGATAGAGAATGGAACTTTTTGTCCTCTTCATCCTTTTTTATTTTTTATTATGATACAATATGGGCTTCAAAATTGTGAATAAGTATGAGAATATCTTACGTGTATGTGAGTAGATATTTAACTTGTGTATCTGTCTTTTCACCTCACAGGTTTCTGGTGTCGAACAATGATGCCTGAGTGGACTGATGATTTGGAGAAAGCCAATATTAGCAGCGAGAGTCATGTAAAGGAAGACAGCGAGTATGTGAGGCTTGTTATAAGAAATGAAAGAACAGATGAAGTTGGAACTTCACAATCCCAATCACAGTCTAGAAAAGAGTCTATTGTATGGTGGATCAAGGCTACTATATGGTGTATTTTCTCTGTGATAATTCTACTAGTTTCCATAAAATGGGGAGTGCCCTTTTTTTTTGAGAAGGTATCATGCCTCTATCTACATACACTATATGTCCTAATTTGGTTGGTGCACTTTATTACTTGTCCGTCCAAAAAGATTGACATATTTCGATTTTTTAAGAGGTTGACAGATTTCCATCTTTAGAAACTAGTTAATTTAACATTCCACTTGACATTGGCAGACTTGTTGGCCTCACTGAGTATAAAAGAAATTGTTTGGTACAAGGGTATTTTTGGTATATCATACATACTTAGCTTATGTTTTAAAGGTCTCCTTTCTTTTTAAATTTTGTGTCTTAGTCAAACAATGCCAAACAAATTGAGGTGGATTTTACTTGACTTCTTGTCATATGTGCATCCTCATATGTTGATTAAAATTGACTAATGGGATGAGATTCTGGGAGATTTGATCATGTTCTGTCAACAGATGTTACATTACAGTGCATATAGTATCTCTAGACACTAATGAATTAATATGTAGCCTTTAGAATTGGGTATTTGCATATTAATTTGATTAATTTTGTGATCTGCACCAAAATATTGATAATGAAAATGGTGGTGGTCTAGTGGAGAAAGATAACACTTACCTGTTCTGTTTCAAAAATATAACACTTACCTGTTACTTATCAAGGTAAAAAATAGTGTGATTCAGCTCAAGATTCTCAGAGACCGGACTCTGTCTTTAGCTAATCAGTGCATTACTCTTGCAATATTTGTTTTATTTTTCCTCTTTTGTTTTCTGGTGATAGAAGATGCATAAATTAAGTTCCTTGTTAATTGTTGCATTCTTAAATTTTATAGATTCTAATTCCAACCCTACATTGGGAAGCCACTGCATTTGGCCGTCCAGTTCTTGCCCTCGTACTTGTAGCTTCTTTGGCACTGTTTCCGGTATTCCTAATTCCTTCTGGACCATCAATGTGGCTCGCTGGAATGATCTTTGGATACGGTCTTGGATTTGTTATTATAATGGCTGGAACAACAGTTGGGATGATCCTGCCATATTTCGTTGGCTTGTTTTTCAGAGATAGAATTCATGTGAGATACCTACACATCCTGTCTAGTTCATTTGTCTTCTGGACTGGTATTGTAATTTCCTGTATCATACTTCATGCTGTTTTTCTGATTGCATCTGCAGCAATGGTTGAAGAGATGGCCTCACATGGCAGCTATGATTAGACTGGTGGGAGAAGGGAGTTGGTTTCATCAATTCCGTGTGGTTGCGATATTTAGGATTTCACCATTTCCATACACAGTCTTCAATTATGCAGTGGTGGTGACAAAGATGAGGTTCTGGCCTTATTTTTGGGGATCTGTTGCAGGAATGGCTCCTGAATCCTTCATTTACATCTACAGGTTGATACCCCAGACCTCACCCCTCCCTTCTTTTCCATAGTTATTTGCTGATTTGCTTACTCTGTCTTCCTGCAATTTGTCTGCAGTGGTCGCCTAATTAGGACATTTGCGGATGTGCAATATGGGAACCATCATCTGACTACAGTTGAGATTGTCTATAATGTTATTTCTTTCATTATAGCAATTGTCACCATAGTGGCTTTCACAGTCTACGCCAAGAGGACTCTGAGGCAACTTGAAAGTGAAGAAGAAAACAATGGCGAAGGCTCTACCTCTAATCTTGGGAGGTTAGAATTGGAGACTCTTCCAATGCAAAAATCCAAAATTTCTAGTGTTTGGTCAACTTTGTAGTAAGAGGAATGTTAACCTTGGACTTCATTGAGGAAACTAGTGTGTAAATAATTCGAGGTAAAGAGGGAAATGTTTTATGCATCCCTCCATATTGGTAACTAGAAAATTGGAAGATGCTTATTGGAAAAAAAAAAGAAAAAAGTAGGTGTTGTGTAACTAGAGATGCTGCCTGGACTAATTGATATTGGAAAATGAAGACAACATTTGATTAGGCAGCATGAACATCTCTCTCTCTCTCAGTGAAAAGAAAACCATGTTTACTCTGTAGAAAATAATGTATTGTTCATCCTTGTTCTTTTACACTGAAGAAAAACCAGTAACTGTACAATTAAGGAGTAGTATGAGGCTTGTTTGGATTAGAAAGCTCAACAGTTGATGAAATGTCTTGAATTTCATTGCATGCAGGTCTGTTAGAAACAGTGATGCTTTCTAGTGCTTCTGTGACCATCCTATTGTGGGTAGATGAACCAGCCCATGACATCACAGAATCTTCTGTCCGCTCACCAAATATTCCTCTCTTATACGTGGTTCCCATCTGTGTCCAAGTCAAATATGCACATGCTCAAAAAAAGAAGAAAATAGAGTCTTCGATAAGAAAGAGGCGTCTGTGTAAACGGAAGTGAGACAGGTATTTACCTGTGTTACAAGAGCATATAAGGGCAAAGTACTGTAACTGCAAAGAACTTGAACAATCACCCTGTCCACCACAAAATTTACATGGTCACTTTCAGCCAGCCAGAAACGTATTACTATATCTCTATGGGATTTGAGGAGTTTACCCAATAATAAGTCTTGGAATAATGAAACCCAATTCTTCCATGATGCATGATTTGAATCCATAAGTACACTAGAGAGTTGTCAAATAACATAGTTTTTTCATGTTAGAAAAGAAGAAAAGTGATTGAAGTTAGGTTGAAAGAAAGAAGTTAAAAGTTATTACCCAAATCCAGACAAAGAAAGCAATCTCAAAGGAGTTTTGGAACAAAATGAAGTGGATTAGGTAAAGGACAAGAGTTGGACTATCAAACCAAAACAACTTATCAGAAGGTTTAATTGGTGTGGTTTCATCAACTACTGATGACCTCTCTGAAACCTCTTGAGCTAATTCTGTTATTATGTGCTCCAATTTTGTTCCCACTAGAAGTAGCAGCTGCATAAATTTTGTCAAAAATATTTATATGAAGCGATATGGATAATGGTGATTCATATAATTGATCCCAATTTGTTCAAGATTGAAATGATAAATGGATGGAACAACCCAGTTTTTCTTTTGGGAAAGAAAAGAATGGTCACTTACAACAAGAGGTAAAAATGATAGCCAAAAGTAAGAGTGCCATCCTGCATATTTTAAACCATACATTAGTAGGAATATTTCATTTTTCAAAGTGAAACATATATAATAGTAGGGTTTTTTTAAAAAAAAGTACCAAAATTTAAGATTTAATAATACTTAGGATATTAATACCTGCAATGTTGATCAACAAAAACAGAACAACAAAAAGCCACAAGTACCAGCTGTTCAAGATCAATTTCCAAAAAGGGTAAAATTAGCTTGATTAAACATAATTAAATGAAAATTACAAAGTAGTTATCCTATATATAATTAGTATATGTAGTGTTAATTTACCTGATTCCGACAATCTTTTTGAAATCATGCTCCAGTGTCCGCAATATATATTTGTGAAAATTATACTTAGGATTGGATGGACAATGTTTCTATTATCATACGATAAAAAAGAATTATATAATTCCAACTAATTAAAATCATAGAATTGACACACGGTAATTCTAAAAATGAAAGATAAATAGAAAGAATTAAGTATTGCTTACCTTGATAAATCCAGTCCGCAAGACAATATAGTCCGACTTTGTTACTGAACCATAAAATTGTTTGAAAAAAGCCACCTATATTATATTCATACACATGAAAAATCGTCATTTTTCTTTGAGTAATACATAATTATTATCGATCTTTAATAAATAAAATATTGTACCGTCCAACTAACGAGAGCGTACTTTCTCCAACGTCTACCAGCTCTATCCACAAATGATTGAATATGGAGAATATGCACTACACATAGAAAATATCATGGTAATAATTCGTTAAAAAAAATTCAGGAAAATTACAGACAAAAGTGTATAGACAATAATTAACTAATATAATTATACCATGATGTGGTTTTGATTGCTTTTGAATTGAGTTCTCCCAGTGACTCCATTGTTGTATCTATTTGAGGCAAAAAAAAATAAAAAATGAGAGAGAAGTAATAAGTGTTAAGTGGTTAATTTTACATTACACAGTCGAATACTAATTAGAATTGTTATTGACTAGGGAAAAAATGCTACCAATATTTACAATTGTAAGTGTGTTGAATAAAACAAATATATAAATAAAAGTCAACACTCAACACCAATCAAGGTCATGATTCATGAACATTATTTGATTAATGAGACTTTATAAGCTAAGTTTTGCTTAGTTTTCACTTATCAAACATATCAAGGATACAATTTTACGTGAATCAGTTGTTTATATTAAATACACAATATGAATAAAAATATAAATTACACACGTTAAAGAAAGAAAAAGACACATACGTAAGATAAAATATACATTTTTATGCACCACAATATGGTTAAAGAAAGAAAGGACATGTGCATAAGTTACTTCTATTAATTAACTATGGTTAATGCATATTTTTACTTTATTAAATCACTTAATCATTGATAATTATAAACATTCAATGTGTGTAAGTATTTAACAATACTTCCGATAGAATCCCTTAACGACAAAATCAATTTTTAATAGAATATTCATGAGAAATTCACGTTTTATTTAGTAATGTGAATTGATAGATGTATTCTCAATATGTTTCTTTCAGGAAATTGGGGAAGAAATTGGAAATGATTATTTTCTTTGTAAAGATACCTTTGCCCCTCCAAGAACCATGGTGGTGGCACAGAAGATCACATGTGTGACTGCCAATACAAATATGAAAATATGTAGTTGATGCAATGCCTCCAATGATAATAGTGGAACTTTTCCCTACACAAAAAAGATTCAAAATACACAAATTAACTTTTCATTTAAAATTTATAATTGAAATAACACTAATATTCTTCGTTAAAAAGGAAAATAATCATTATTAACATATGTATATATATTACCTCGTGACGATTACAATGTTCTGCACCGCTAGATCCAGCTAAAAGATGTCTCCCAGTGATGAGATGATTAGAAGTTGCAGATTCTTTAAGCTTGCATGGAAGCATTACTTTTGAAATATTTTCAGGAACGCATATTTTGCTTATTGCCCCTTGAGACACCGTTAATAGTAATGAAATAAATCCCAAAAGCATCAATTCTGCAAATTCAATACCAAAAATGAATTTTCAATTATTTTTTTTAAAAAAAATGTGAGGAAACATGCAGAATGTGTCAAACCTTCTTTTAATTTCTGGAGTGCCTTGAATAGGGCATCTTGATTCTTTTGCAGGAAGAACTGTATGCAACAACATGATATATATCATATACATTAACACAATAATATAGAAAATTTTACATATATATATAGTCACTTAATCAACTATTGAATATATAGTAACAGAACGTACAATCACTTTACTATTGTTATATAACACGAATTAAAGTCAAACAAGTAGAGACCAACCTTTCCAAGGCGATGAAGGCCACGTTCAGCAGCAAGTGAAATGAGAACAATGATGAAGCAGACAACGGCAACAACCCATGTTGGTGTATACTCGAGAGACTCAGACTTTTCCGCCATCTTTAACCTTAATGCATGCCTTGATGAATTATTTGCGAATTCGTAGCATTATTATAAGGGAAATTCTACTGTACTGGACATGCATGTTTGAAACTAAGGCAAAGCATAAGTGTCACGGAAGAAAATTAAAGTACCTAAAGGTGAGCACCAAGCAAAGAACAAATGTTCGATTAAATTAAGTTTTTTTTCAGAAAAACATGAAAAGAATATCAAAGTTTTGTCAGAATAATATTATTTGCTAACTGAAAAAAGTTTGAATTATTCTGAAAGAACTCCCGCAAGAAATTACTGACAGTGTGTAAAACATATTTTTGCTTTGCACCAAATCTTTCAAAAAGGTACTTCTCTAGAGAAAAAGTAAATGACAACTTTGCTTTGCTTAAAACAAAAGCTTATAAGGTACTACTATTTTCGTCTTAGAAAATGTTTATCACTACGTTATCATATTAAAAGTCAGTTATATTGCAAGTATCAAAGTTATTCTTTTAAAATAAACATGATATCCAATTATACCATTCTTTAATTTGAGACAGGCTAAAAAGAAGAAAAAAAATGTCACATAATAAAATAAATGAGATATCAATTTTAAAATAGGATGAAAAATCTCTCTCGAGCGTTTATGGAAGACAAAGGGGAAATCAAAGGGTGAAAATGAAGAGGGTATAAATACATTATTATTGTAAAATTTTCTTACACAATTAGATTACTATTACATGTTATACAATTAGATTATTATTATATTTTACAGCATGCAGCGTAATTTGTTTTGAAATTATAATTATCACATTTTAAAGAGGTTTATTCAGAGATATATTTAAATTACATGATGAGTAAGAAAGTTATTTACTCTTAACAATATTTATAATTTAAATTCTAAGTAATAATTATTCTTGCGTACATGTTAATTTTTTTTAAAACATTTGGGTTTATCAGTGTAGAAATAAATATGTGGAGACTATGATTACGTTAATTAAAAAATTAAGATTTATAGTGTATGGATTATTTTTATTAGCTTTGATTATGTCCAGAAAAATTCAAAATAAGAATTCATTTTTAAACTAAATAAAATTAAATGAATATCGATGATGAACTTAAGAATTTTTATTCTTGCGTACATGTTACTATTGAAGAAATTGCAAAATTTAGTGATTTGACATAGCTTTAGGCGGACAAATTACATAGCAGATATTTTGGTAAGCAAAGTTCCAAACAAATAAGAAATAACAAAGTCCTCAATTTGCAATTTGTATCTAGTTAAAAAACATTTCTATTTGACTTGTAAATTTGCAATCTCCATCGTATCTAGTTAAAAAACATCTCTATTTGATTTGTAAATTTGCAATCTCCATCGTATCTAGTTAAAAAACATCTCTATTTGACTTGTAATTAAATCATATATAAGTTGGCGCATTTTAACAATATTGCTATAATCACTTACTCATAATTAATTTCAGCATAAAATCTCACATAGGACTGTATAATATTTGGTTGAATGCATAAAAAAAATTTAATCGTTGCATAATAATGTACTTATTTACAAGGCGGAATACATAAACATACTCCTAAACTTGTTCGGTT